TATAAAACTAATATATATACATATATACGAGCAAACAGCTTTTTCATTACTGAAAACATATTTTGATTAGATTTGTCAGTGTAACAGCTGTTCAACCGGAATATAGCTGCTCTTTTCGAATTCTCCCTAATTAAAAGACTGTTTTATTTTTATTTTTATCTAATTCCTATTTGCTAACAAAAATTCTGTTTTAATGAAATTTTATATTAAAATGTTTATTACAAAATTGAAAGAAAGTTAAGTGTAAAAAATCGAAATTTGTTTTTTAGAATATGAAAGATTTTCAAAAATGTATATTTGAAAGTTTACTAACTCGAAACTCGAATCTAACCTAATTATAGCTGTCAAACTTATAATATAAATTATGAGGAGTCTCATTTTGTATAAAAAAGTATTGTCACCAGGTAGTACCGACTTCATAATTCTCATTCACAGACAAAAAAAAAATTGTAAATTTCAAGATTGAGTCCGAAAAGCTGGTTTAGTCCCCAATGTACCAACAATACCTTTTTTCAGGATTGTCACCTATATAATCGATGGTTTTCAAAATTTACTACTTAATATTTGATTTTCGATACGGTTACTAATATACTCTTTTTGCATCATGAACGAGTATAAAAATCGTAAAAATACTGAATTGCTCAACACGATGCAAAAGCATATCGCAGCAGGCTTTGAGAACACAGTAGGCAGTGGAATATGAGTGAAGTAGAAGCGAATTGGAGTTAGTTTTATTGTTTTTGTTGCATTGAAGTTCGACAATTCATTTGACTGAGCATCGAGAAAAGAGAAAATAATTGGGAAATTTCCGGAAAATGTTGTCATTGAGACGCTTGCAAAGATTTCAATGGCGTCCATTGGTGCGTCTCTGTTCGGCCGAGTTAGTACACAAAGTAAGTGACAACGTATTCATAAATTACACATATAGACTCGATACTTAATGTTCTCAACTCGAACTATATTGAACAATAGGATACATTCATAGAGAAACTGCGGAACAGCTATATTGAGGATGAGCGGAACAATTTTGTGGTGCCGACGTTCAAGAAGGCGATGCTCTTTCCAGATGAGATTGCAATTAAGGACTTGAATGGAGAATTTACATACTTTCAGCTTTACATAACAGCCAAAAAGCTGGCCATTCAAATATCCAACTTTTGTGGTAATCCCAGCGAGTCCCTTTGAGAATTCATTCATTTTTCATTGATATATCGAACTTGTACTATTTCAGGCAGTGCCTCGCAGTCAAACGTCGCTTTCTTGTGCTCCACTAATGCGCTGTGGATTGTTATCCAGTGGGGCTGCTGGATTTCAGGCCAGGTGGCTGTGCCCCTGGAGCCAAATCAAGCGGCAGATGAGCTGCTCAGCCAGGCCACCGATTGCAAGGCGAAGTTACTGATTGGCACACCCGAGTGTGAGAACATCACCCAGGAGCTGGCCACGAAACTGCAGACGGCCAGCATTGTGCTGGACCACAGCTTTGTGCCCACGCCGGAGAGCGTCGCCTCCACGGCCATGTATGCCAAGCAGCTGGTGGGCCTGAACGGGGCCCTTATACCGGAGAGCACGTTGCCCAACGACTATTATGCCAACGCGCCGGCCATGCTGATCTACACGCCCAGCTCCTCGAACAGTCGGAACGGCGTGGTGCTCACCCATCGGAATATCGAGGCGCAGATGCGCTGCCTCGTCTCCAGCTGGCATCTGAAGGCCACCGACTCGATGCTGCCGCTCATTTCGATGAATCGCATGCATGCGGCCATTGGAGCTCTGCTCGGTGTGGGTGGCAACATATTGCTGCAGCAGAAATTCGACAGCCATACCGCTTGGAGCTCCCTGCTGGGCATCAACAGCCCGTCGAAGCAGCGCGTGAATATCTTCCTGGCCATGCCCATCATTTACAAACGCCTCATTGCTGAATATGACAAAATGTTCGCCCAGGACTCGCGCATGGTAGAGTACATAATCAACCACTGCAAGCAGAAGATTCGGCTGATGGCCACTGCATTCGGGCTGCTGCCGGAGTCTGTATTCTATCGTTGGCGCGAGATAACCGGGCAGAATATTTACGAGTACTACGGGATGCTGGAGACGGGCCTGGTGCTAGGTCCCGCCCTCGACGAGCAGTCGCCCAACAGCAATGCGGACTACCGTCCGGGCACCTTGGGCGCACCACTGATCGGGGTCACCGCCCGCCTGGTGAACAACCAAGGTGATCAGCTGGTGAGCTGCAAGAGCGAGTCCAGCATGGAGAGCAACGCCAGCTCGGATGAGAAGACCAATAGCATGCCAGTGCTGAATACGGTTGTCGGCGAACTGGAGATAGCTGGCGCGAATCTATTCCCCCGAAAGATCAACACAATTCTGCAGATAACCCCTGTGAAGGTAGGAACGACCGCAACGGTTGACCAGGTCGCGCCGATGGAGCAGACCGCCGAGAAGTTTCTGAAAACCGGTGACATTTGCGCCTATCGCAACGGCAGCTTCAACTTCCTAAGCAAATCGACGGACGTATTCAATGTAGGTGGATACAAGGTCTACGGATCCGAGATCAAAAAGGCTCTCATTTCACATCCGAGCATCAACGATGTTGCCGTTTTGGGCATACCCAATAAACTGTGGGGACATCGTCTGGGCGTCATTTGCATCTTGTCGCCCGATGCCGATGTCGATCTGGAAACAATCAAGTCCTATTGCTATAGACAGCTGCCAGCCCATAAGCGTCCCACTGTCTTTAAAACGATCGTTGCCAAGTAATCAAGCAATCAATCTAGTAATCTATTAGCTCAACATCCTCTCTTGTACGATCGTACAACATGACAAAAATTTTCGTGTCCTTTATTTTAATTGTTCAAAGATAAAGAGAAACCTCTATTCCTTTTACAGATGATTGCAACCGAGAAATTCATCAAATGCAGTACTACATACACAAGCTCAATCAATTTTAGAATATTGATAACCTTTAGCTAACTGTTATAGAATACCGGCAAATTATTAATCAATCTGCAATCATCAAAATCTTGGTGCAACCTCTTTATTTATACAACTCGATTAAAACATGCATTTTACTTATTGRTTATTGATTATTGATTTCTTTTTGGAGTAAAACGAAATTTCGTTTACTTTGTGGTCTATATGCTATATATATCATATCACATTAATGTCATAGGGTCAGGTGTGTGGAGGGTCCCTAAAATAAAGGTCAATATCCCAAGGATAAGAGTGAAATAAAAAAAAATCATTTACTTACATATTTAACTTTAAAATTAACTATGATAATCTGGTCATATCAAATAATATTATATCGTCACCTAACCTAACCTAATTCATCTTACAGATAGGGACATCTGAGATGAGTTCCGGATGCTTTCGAGCTGCTTAAGACATTCAACAAATAAAAACAAAATAGACCTGAGATGTTCATACGCATATATTGAATTCTGCGATATAGCTTGCTGATGTAGAAATCAACTTCTTTGAAGGATTCTTATGCTACTATTCCACATTATCATCCACGATCCCCAAAGTTGCAGTCCACGTCTTCGTTGATGGAGCACAGCGACGGATATTTGGGGTTCATGCCTGATTTGCATTTTTCTCCAGCCTTTTTGCAAGCCGTGTAGACTGGCCAGCCTATAAAGTTGGTTGTGGCATAGTTGCATGCCACCAGGAACGTGTTGAACTCGTCTTTCAGGAAGTTGGCAACTGCACAGCCGACGGCTATGCTTCGCTCATGAGCCACCATCGTTAGGTGGCCAATGGTGCTATCGAGGGAGTTATATATATGATATGGGACATAGTAGTAGGATAGTATATAGGATGCGTGACTTACGGTCCATTGTAGTTGTTGGGATATTTGGCTAGATGCGCGGCCTTGACGTCTTTGCCTTCTTTAGCCCACTCCTTGACTGCGTGGCGTAAGATGGTGGATATATTGGGCGCCGCCATGCCCCAGTAGCCCTCAATGAACAGGTTCTGTCCGGAGTATCTGAACTGCTCCGTATTATGGCATGCATCGTGCTCCATGTAGCACTGCTTCACATTCAATTCGGCCAGCCGCGCCAGCTCTGCGTCCCATCTGACTGTGGCCATGCGGCAGGCCTTCACCTTGACATGTCCCCTCCCGCTGGCCCACTGCTCGCGTACCTCGTTGTGCGCCGCGACAACGGCCTGCTGGGCATCCTCCCCAATCGCCAGGAGCTTCGCGTCCGCCGGGCACTCCTCGGAGAAACTCTGCAAGCAGCAGCCACAGATGCACTACAGCAACGACAGCAGCACAAGTCCATCCACTAACCTCATCGTTGCCACAGGCTATATGCTGCACGCCCTTAGCACACAGCTTGCAATAGTCGGGCTCCCCAGCCCGACTGCCCTCCAGTAGGCAGCTCAAAGCCATTGCTGAGACCAGCAGCCAGGTGATTCCGCGTGCCGTCATCGTGAAACTCTGTGTGGGACAATCGCTTGGAGCGCTGCTTTTTATTATGCCGTCGTAAGGAAATCGTGACTCCTTATCAGTGACACGAAATGGGCAAGCCGCTTCAAGTGGATTAGCTGAAAGGTTTCCGAAATGAAAACTAATTTGCCCAAGGTAATTGGTTTCTATCAGCTCAGATAACTTAGGGATGAGTCTCAACTTGTACTACCCCACTAGATATCCGATCGTTCATAAACGTTCATGAAAATGGGATATCAGGGTATAATGTTCTTGTGAAAACTTATATAACAGGCAGAAGGAGGCGTGGCAGACCAATTAAAGTATATACATACATACATATATTCTTGATCAGGGCGACGAGCTGAATCGATATAGCCATGTCCGTCTGTTTGCATGAGCTCCGAGATCTCAGACGATATAAGAGCTAGAGTCAGTTCTATGCAGGGTTCAGGGGAATCTCTAGTCGAACAGCACTCCTGCTTGTTAAAATTCCAATTAAAGTAGCTCGAGTAGCATACGTCAGAGCAGAGTTGGCTCCGTTTTCAGTGTACGCTCTGCTGTAGCTCAGTTAACATAGCCTGCTTTATTAGACCTTTCGAGTTTTGTGCGGTGTATGTGTCGCTGTATTTCGGGCACAAACTCAATTCGAAATTACAAAATTTGACTGGGGTTCAGCTGGCGAGCGACCCGGGTAGACAGCTTCCATAATGACGGTTACGTATCTAATACCAATATATCCACCCGATAGTCGACTCACATTCGATTGGGATGACAGTGTGGAGGCGTCGCTATTGGTGGCTCTTGGCTTTTTAGTTCTCATGCAGCTGATCCTTCTCATTTACATTGTGCTGGCCCACTTTCAGCCCTGCACCCTGTACCGGCAGCAGCTGAATGAAAGCTACCGCCGGCGCTATGGAAACTTTATCTTTCGTCGGCTGCTAGCTCAACTCGATCGTGCTTTTGGGCAACGACCCGACGTCGGTCAGGAGCTCAGCTCCTGCCTAGAAGCGAAACGCATGGCCCAGTTGGCAATACGCCTGTTCTGCCGTGACTCTACCAAGGTGCTCTATCCTGAGCACGAACTGGACTCATTGGCAGCCAGTGATGCCTATTTTGTGCTTGACGACGAGGAAGCCGAGCTCAATTCCGCAGGCTATTACAGCGTTAATTTCGATGTAACGGATGCATTCCTAGAGAGCCTATTGTATCCCAAACGCGCTGATCTCCCCAGTAAAAACAAATCAAAATCGTAAAGTTGTTAGCGAATCAGGCTATTCTCATTGTGGCGTCAGCGATGACGGTAAACCATTTTATTTCAATAAATATGACACAAATTTCTAAATTGAACCTAATGCTTGAGTTGTGACCTCTACTCTCTAGACTATGCATGTACTTTGTTGAGGGATCTACTGAAGATAACCTTGTCGACCACGTAGAGCTAATCATTCTGAGCGGTGAGAACCCCTTCGCTATTGTCTTACCTTATGTAGTTAGCCTAAGTCCCTCAGTCTTATTCGATTAGCCTACCTTACCTTATGTGGTTAGCTTTACTCATTCAGCCTTACCCGTTGAACCTTATTCGACTAGCCTTTATCACCTTATGTGGTGAGCCTTACTCACTGCGATGAATTCGCTTAACCTCACTAGTTCAGCTAAATTTTGATTCTTCATTATTCATCTAACCTTAAGCACTGGGGTTTACCCATCGACCCTTTTTCGCTTATGCCCTGAAATGCGTTCAATCCCAAAAAGGAATCAGGAGCATCCACCGCTGATCTTAATTCCGTGAACTCTATCTGAAAACTTGCGAATTTGATTTTCGTTTTCAATATGTATATTTTGCAAACAACTTGAACATACCACTCGCACACAAAACCAACTAGAAACATAACATAAGGATATAGTTAAACATAATTGTTAATATTAAACATTAGCAACCTGTCGATATACATATGGGAACGGACTCGTATATCTACAGTTATATACACTTTACAATACAAATTACGACACAAAAAAGGCAATAGAACTAGATTTCATTCTAACAACGTTCGGTTAAGTTCGCTAGAGTTCACTTCTTGAAGCAGATCTTGAGTACGCGTATGACTGGCGCTTCGAATAGTGCGGATATAACAAAGGCCGATCCGAAAGAGACAACGGCGTTGCCCAGAAACGTAGTCAGTATCATGGGATTGTTGAGATGAACGGTGCCGCTCATATGCGATGAGCAGATGAACATAATAATCGGATGGATCAGATAGGCGCAGTAGGTGAGACGCGACAAGGGCCACAGCATGCGATAGGACAGTATCGCGTTGACAGTGGGCGCGAGTCCCCAGCAGCAGGAGAGCACTATCCAGACGAGGCCACACCCAAAGGCCGTATGTCCAATGCTCACATAGAAGGCGGTGTTCACGACGCTCAGTTCACCTGGCCAAACGCCAAAGATGACCAGGAATAGAACGCCCAGACTGCAAGCCCAGAGGCTAAGATTGAGACGCCTAGATATTTTCGGCGGCGTCTTTACCCTATACAGCGCATAGCCGGTAAACATGCCTGTGTGCATAAGAGAGAGAGACGGAGAGAGAGAGGGAGAGCAATTCGAGTGATTGAAGAGAAAGAGGAGTACTAGGACTTACCCACTATATAGGCTCCCACACGCTGCCAGGGTTTGTCGTAGAGAAAGTCAAAGGACTCAAAGGGCAGCGCCACCTTGTGGGTGTATTGATGCTGCAATGAAATAATGCCCGAAACGCTCCAAGAGCTGACCAGAAAGACAACCAGTGTCACTGCCACCGCCTTGAAGTATCTAGAAGGAGTGACATCAATAGGTTAAATAGAGCCAGACTAGCTGAAGCATCCTTGCTCACTTTCTGGAGAGCGCCAGCAATAGACAAGCCATGACATAGAACTGCATATCGTTGGCCATGTACCAGCTCCACATCATGCACATCTCGTGCTGGGGAAAGAAGTTGTTGATGTACAGAATGTTGCGCCACCAAAAGATGCGGCAAGTATTGTGCTCGATCTTGGCCGGCTGGAAGACGGACGAGTCAAGGCCCTGACGGACAGCAAAGTCATTGAACAACACCACAAAGAGGTAGACGGGCGTGAGGCGCAGATAGCGGTACAAGAACATCATCATGGTGTCCAGGAAGCTACGCTTGAAGACGGTGCACGGCGGACCCGCAGGCTTCCTTTCCTGCTTCACATAGAGCAGTGTGACCAACAGGCCGCTGATGAAGAAGAACGAGTCCACGGAGAAGGTGGCATTGCCAATGACCTGGTACCAAAACGAACGTTCCGTGATAACTCGTTCGAACTGAGGCAGGGAGCAGACAGAGATACATTAGAATACCTTGTAAAGTGAGAGTCCCCTCAAACCCTACCTTATTCTCGCCTATCGCAAACATTTGCAAATACGTGTGCACCATCATGGTCCAGAGTACGGAGAAGACGCGTAGGCCATGCAAACAGGATGTGTGCGTCTGCGTGAAGTGTGGACAAGGATTGTTTAGGTTCTTGATAAGGAGGTGTGAGGGGACTTACCTCCTTGTTCTTGTCTATGTTCAGTATGGCCTTGGCATTCGTTTGCAGTGCAAAGCACAGCAACAGCTGCTGATGCAGTGCTGTAAGAAGGGGGTAGAATGTACATACATATGTTAAGAATGGCATGCAAAGCTAAGCTTTTTGCCGCACCAATATATATAATGGAAAAATGTGAATTAAAGAAACGTCAAGTTAGGGAAATACCCTTTCGAATCGTTCAATTACATCGCAACTAACAAATCTACTCCACAGTTCTTGTGGACTAGTCCACTCCCTTAGCAGAGACAAAAACCCATATTCATGTGAACCACTTAGTGTAGACACAAACCTATGGGCTGCTCGGCTTCGTAGGTGCCCGCCACGCCTGCACAGCTGCCCGTTTCCACCTGGTAGTCCGTCATCTCATTCTTGTCCGTCTGTTTGCCCGCCACGCCCACTACAGAGGCCACCGACGTGGAGGCTGTGCTCTCGCCGTGCATCGCCTCCGCTGAGTTGGTAGCTGCATCCGGATGCCGTTGCCGATTGCCATTCATATCGACGTGCGCGTCCAGCGTCGAGTCCGTTGCCACAAGCCCATTGCTGCTCAGCGGTCGCATTTGAAAGAGCTCGAAGGGCTTGCCGTAGTAGGCCGCCTCGTAGTCCCCGCTCTTGCTGGCGGCATCGCATTTGGCGCTGATCGCGGGTATCGGCGCCGCTACCAGGCGACGCTCATCGATGCGCATCTGGTAGTAGGTGGCCACGATCATCACCAGCAGCAGGGTAAGCAGAAAGCTTCTGCAGTCATAGAGATAAGGTTGGCTCTGCCATTAGTTCACCGAAGTCGGTGCTGCTTGGTTGCACTACTCACATGAACACCTGGAACTTGAGCTGTCGCCAGTGGCTATATAGTCCAGGCACGGTGCGCACGCGCAGCACCTGAAGGGCCGGCTGCTGGGCGCTGGCGTTGTGCGCTCCAAGCATGGTCAGCATCCGTGCATAGGGGTCCAGCGAGAGTATCGACTGCACATCGTGCGCCGAGCAGGACTTGGGCAGGCACTCGCCCAGGCTGAGAAGCTGCTGCTGCATGTGCACTATAATATTGCAGGCAATACTTTCAAATTCGACAACTTACCGTCCGATTGAGGCGTGGCATTTGCAGCGAAATATCAGCCACATAGAACTCCAGCTCAAAGTGCTTCCGTTCCCCGCTACCAGAGAGCTGACGGTTCAGTTCCAGGCAGAATGTCAGCTGCCCCAGCCACTTGTCATTCCCGAACAGCAGCTGACCCCGATAGCGTCCCGAGGCATCGTACGCTACAAATACAGATCAGTAAACGAAATTGAGGATCTGTATGATCATTAAATATGATTGATTAACAAAAAAGAGAAGGAGTTCCCACTAATTAATCTGTTTGCAAATGGCAATCAAGCGATCATGATATATTTTTGTTTGATTGGGAAAGAATCTAATTCAGTCGTAGCATTAAAAAAGAAATAGCTTCTTTCGTCACATAGATTCTGGCTTCAGGCCTGAGCATTTCTTAGATCAGATAAAGGAATTGCAAATGATAGATTAATCAAGTTAAGATCAATCAAAACATGTATATTACAAGACTAAAGTCTAAAGCCTTCTATTTCACGCAGTTTGGTAACTAGAACATGTCCATAAGAACTGATTCTTTGCCTTTAAATCCACTTAGTATTCATCTTTGAGCTCACCTTTCTGTGCCCACTCGTAGCTGGAGTGCAGTCCGGTTAGGTAGGCCTGCATCTCGAGGCCGCAGCCGGTGCGCACGCTGGTTCGGATCTCAGAGATTTGCCAGTAGAAGTGATCGTACAGATTGGTCACGATCTGAAAGTAGTTGGCCGAGCCATAAAGGCTCTCGGCCATGGTGCTGCTGTTCGCATTCGCCGTTCCATTGCTGCCCAGGTAGTGGCTGATGCTATTGATGGTGCTGCCCAGGGTCTTCAGCTGCAGCTCGTCATCACTTTGCTTCAGCAGCTCTCTGCCCTTCTTGGGAGAGGGCTTGTTTTTCAAAATCTTCAGTATGTGGGTGCTGCTCGTTGTGGTTGTTGCTGCTGTTGTTGTTGCTGCTGCTGCTGCTGTTGCTGTTGTTGTTGTTGTTGTTGTCGTTGCAGCTGTTGTCGATGCTGCTGCCGTTGTTGTAGTTGAAGTGGCGGTTGTGGTTGGCTGAAAGCTAGACTCGGGCAGCGCTGATATGTCCACATCGACGGTGTCGCTGTCATCAGGGTTTGTGGGCTTGTAGCTCAGCTCGGGTGCATTGCCATTGCTGAGGACGTGCTGCTCCTCGCTGCTGAGGTCACCCTTCTTGATCACCTCATGCTCCAGGTCCTCCAGGTCGCCCAAGTTAAAGTCAAATGTAACCGGATGCAGTTCGTACTCCTTAAGCGGATGCGGCTTAACATACTCAATGCTGGGCAGCAGCTTCTCCAGCGGCAGATAGGGCTTCTTCTTCAGCGGCTTCTGTGGCAGCACTTCGTGAGTGTTGAGCGTTAGAGGGGGCTCCTCCTCCTCCTCGTCGTCGTCCACCTCATGCAAGATGGTGATGTTGTTACGGCTGCTGAAGTGATGCGCCGCAAAGTCTCGCAGCTGCGCTGTGGAGGCCAAGGCCTTGACTGGCTCCGAGCTGTTTGTGGCTTCAGGCTCAGTTTGATTGACCGCTGCAGCCAGTTGGCCAGCGACCAGGAGCACAAGCAACACGCCCAGTCCTTTTGTCCTTGACATAGTGTCTGGCACACTTGGATCTGCTGCTCACTTGGATCTTACTGCTACTCGAGCCTAAACTTTAGCTTGATGTCGTTGCAGTTGAGTCCTCTAAATACTCTCCTGCATTTTCTCTTCTTCTGTTTTGCTTTCGATTTTTCACGTTTTATTTGCTGTCTGCTTGAAGTTGCGAATCTCACTTCTCGCTGTCATCGTTCTAGTATTTAGTTCATGTGATTTAATCAATGGATATCTATATGCACAGGATTAGAGTTCAATAAACATATATTTATATCTAGCGATTGCCCAACCCCCCGTTTCGGACATAAACGATTGGGCAGTTGTTTATGATCCGATTCGATTTTCGTTTTCATTTTCGTTTTCGTTTTCCTTTTAATTTTCGTCTGTTTGCACATTTATGGCTTTAATTGTTTCTAGGCGGGCGCAGGTTGCCCGGATTGCCAAAGCCTGGCAGCTGCGGCGACTACTGCGGCTGTTGCTGTGAAAGCAGCCAGAGGAAAATTACAAAATTTCCTGGTTAAACTTGTTAAACGTGTTGCGCTGAGCACTCAGTGGTCGGACGGACGGACCGTTGGACGGTCGGACGGTCGGTCGTTGGCTGTGGCCAAAGCCGAGTGCCGCATGCTGCTAGCGGGAAAATGTTGCTGCTACTGATGTCTCGAGCTAGCCTTTCTTACATAACTTCCGCATCTCGCCATCGATTCGCATTGGTGCGACGATGATGATCTTCGGCCGTGCAGTTCGCACTTTTCACCTTATTGTGCAATTTCTATATGATCTATATTGATCGCTCGAAATTAGCGGGCCAGCTGCCGCCAATGCGGCCAGCACCGCCGATTATTAGCCTATTATCGATCTCCTTTACGATCTGAGTAATTGGTTTGCTAACTGTATGAAGCTCAATCCATAAAAAAAACAACACAACAAAAGTTAGTACAATTCAAGATCTTGTGGAATATTCGTAAATACGTTTTTCTAAGAATTGAAACTTTCAATATATATTATATGAAAAGTGTCTCTTATGTAGCTCTAATTAATAAAGTATTCTATATGTATTCAAAATAATAATAATTTCCTATCACTCTATTTCTCAGTCAAGGATATTCAATAAATGATTTTGAAGTTCTCTTTAGAATGAAATACGAGTTATCATAACAAAAAATACTTGCAAAGTTGAAATGATTTCATTTGGGCTCTAAACTATTTATGTCTTTATATCAGCACTTATATATTATGTAATTTCTATCAACTAACTAATGCCCAGTATCACACTTTCGAATCTGAAATTTGTAAGAGGTTTCGATATATATTTTGCGAAATAAATATATAGCTTTTATCTCCTACAAGAGTTTAGTTAACTGAAATTGGTTATCGAGCATATATACATATATACATAAATAACACGAGTAGGGGTACCACTTACTTTGTATAAATCCTTTCACTCGTATTGACAAAATTACCCCATTTGTATCTGTTTCTTTTTTCAGTCCGTATAATTTCCCTTTACTTATTTTAAGCCTATGAATTGGTAAAGATCTTAACCTCTGCTAAGCTAATTCGGTACTTAARCCCAAATCCTTGTCATTGGGTCACTTGGTCAGTTAGCTAAACTGTCTGCAGGACGATTATTATAATTATAAATTTAATACCAT